TTCCAGTGCTACCTGGGTCAGTGTTCCATGTTCCTGGATAAGTGTTCCATCTCCCTGGGCAGATGTTCCAGGCACCTGGACAAGTGTTCCATGTACCTGGGCAGGTGTTCCAGGTACCCTGGGTAAATGTTCCAGGCACCTGGGCAGGTGTTCCATCTACCTGGGTAAGTGCTCCAGGCACCTGGGCAGGTGTTCCAGGCCCTGGGAAAGTGTTCCATGTACCTGGGCAGGTGTTCCAGGCAGGCACCTGGGCAGAGTGTTCCAGGTACCGCAGTGGGCAAGGTGTTTCAGAGTACCTGGGCAGGTAGTTTCCATCGTACCTGGCAGGGTGCTCCAGGTTCCAGGCGCGTGTTCCAAGCACCTGGGCAGGTATTCCATGTCCTTGGGTCAGTGTTCCAGGCACCTGGGCAGGTGTTCCAGGCAGTGGTGAAAGTGTTCCCTCTACCTGGGCAGGTGTTCCATGTACCCAGGCAGGTGTTCCAGGTCCCTGGGCAGGTGTTCCAGGCACCCAGGGAGGTGTTCCATGTACCTAGACAGGTGTTCCATCTACCTGGGCAGGTGTTCCAGGCACCCAGGGAAGTGTTCCATGTACCCAGGGGGGTGTTCCATCTACCTGGGCAGGTGTTCCATGACCCTGGGTGAGTGTTCCAGGCACACAGGGAGGTGTTCCATGTCCCTGGGCAGGTGTTCCAGGTCCCTGGGTAAGTGTTCCAGGTCCCTGGGCAGGTGTTCCAGGCAGATGTGAAAGTGTTCCATGTCCCTGGGCAAGTATTCCATGTACCCAGGCAGGTGTTCCTGGTCCCTGGATAAGTGTTCCAGGTCCCTGGGTAGGTGTTCCATCTACCTGGGTAAAGGCTCCAAGCACCCGGGCAGGTATTCCATCTACCTGGGCAGGTGTTCCATGTCCCTGGGTAAGTGTTCCAGGTACCCAGGGGGGTGTTCCATCTACCTGGGCAGGTGTTCCAGGCACCTGGGTAAGTGTTTCATCTACCCGGGCAGGTGTTCCAGGTACCCAGAGAGGTATTCCAGGGAATTTTTGCTGCCAGGAACAGGGAAAAAGTACGAGAAAAAAGCCCTTCACCCCCTGCCTTGGGATCCCCGGAATCCAGGTGGGTCTGGATTGATGGGTTTAATTCCATGTCCTGTTCGGGATTCCCGGGATCCAGGTGGGTCTGGATTGATGGATTTAATTCCATGTCCTGTTTGGGATTCCCGGGATCCAGGTGGGGTTGGAATGGTGGAAAGCAGGGAATTTCTTGGCAATGACTAGAAATAGTTACTTAATATAATAATTTTATATTTCATAATTTATATAAGAATTTATGTCATAATTTATATATAAAATCACATGTAAATATTTACATTACTAAAAATATAAAATATAATTAATATAATATTTAGGATATAAATATATAAAATTTTGTATTATAATTTCTATAATAATGTCTACAATAATCTATAATAATTTTAGCTGTTATCCCATAACGTAACAATACAATTATTTCTATTTACACAAATATTTAAAATACGACACTTCCAATTAAAAAGTCAACAATAAAATAAAAATTTAACAGGATTCCACGGGAAACGCTCCTGGATTTTTCCCTGGACCTTTATTCCCTTTTGTGTGGCCGTAAATGGGGCATTAATTAATAATTAATTAATTAATTTGGGGGGAAAAGTGGATTTAAAGCGTTTTATCTGAAGGAGGGGGGTCACTGTGGGACATTAAACCTCATTTTTGGGCCCCTTTTGTTTGTCGTGAGGCTCGAACAGCGCCGGGGTGAATAATACATAAATTTTTTAAAAAAATTTAAATTAAATTAAATCAATTAAAAGATCCGGAAACGAGCAATTAAACATTCCCCGAGAGAATTCCAACAAATAACCAAATAACGGTGGCATTTTAGGGAGCAGAACACGGGACAGAGCAGCCCCCGGGATGGATTTTCCCCCTTTATTTGCCCTTCTCCCTCCCCCCAAAAAAACCACCAGAAACCCCCAAACGATTTTTAAAACCGGGCATTTAATAATTTAATAATTTAATAATAATTTAATAATTTAATAATTTAAATACGATTTTTTTTTACGTTGATATTTTTTATTTAAAACGCGATTTTATTCCCGTTGCCGGGGTTTATTATTATTAATAATATTTATTATTATTATTATTATTTATTATTCTATTTCGGGCAGCTTTTTCCTAGCCCGAGCCTCGAATTCCCATCGGGAATTCGGACCAGGAGAAGGCAGCTCCAGGTTTTTTTTTTCCCGCGGCCACAGGAGGGACTCAGGCGGAATTCCTAAAACCTGGGGGCGGGGGGCACTTGGCGTTAATTAACGCGTTAATTGACTCTTTAATTGACCGGAGGATCTGGAGGAAGGTTTGGGATGCAGGAAGGAAATGCTGGGATTTTGGGAAGGGAATTTGGGAAGGGAATTTGGGATCCCTGGGAGCATCCCAAGCCAGGTTGGATCCCCCTGGGATGGCGGGAGATGGATCGGGATGAGTTTTAAAGTCCCTCCCAACCCCAAACCCTCCCGGAATTCCCATTTTATCCAAATTCCCGGGGATCCCACGGGGGAGAGAGGGAGGAAAAACCGGGAAAACCCCGGGACACGAAGGACAACGCCAGCCCCAAGCGCTGATTTTTGGGCTGAAAATCGGGATTTTTGCCCCCTCAGAACCCTCAAAACCTCCCCAAGGGGGGGATCCCACGGGCTCATTCCCGGCCCCGGCCCCTCAGGAGAAGCTCCCGCGTGTCCCGCGTGTCCCGCGTGGGAGGGAAGTGGAGCAGAACTGGCGGTCGGCGGGGCACGGCGAGCAGAGTTCGGGGGCAGTGAGGCACCCACGGGTGGAAACCTCCACGCCCAGCCCTTAATGACAGCCCTGCCGCTCCCGCGCGTGGGGGCAGCGGGGAGAGAGCCACGCGGGGAGCAACCTCCTCCCCCACGCACGGGGTGGGGGAGCTTCGAGACCCTCCGTTCTGCCCCGGGTGGGCTCTGAGACCCCCCATCCGTGACCCCCCATCCTGTCCTGAGTGGGCTTCGAGACCTCTTATCCTGTCCTGGGTGGAGCTTCGTGACCCCCGTCCTGTCCCGAGTGGAGCTTTGTGACCCCCCGTCCTGTCCTGGGGGGGGGTTTGTGACCCCCTGTCCTGTCCTGGGTGGGCTCCGTGACCCTCAGTCCTGTCCTGGATGGGCTTCGAGACCCTCCCTCCTGTCCCGAGTGGAGCTTCGTGACCCCCGTCCTGTCCCGAGTGGAGCTTCGTGACCCCCCGTCCTGTCCTGGGTGGGCTCCATGACCCCCAGTCCTGTCCTGGGTGGGCTTCGAGACCCCCTCATCCTGTCCTGGGTGGGCTCCGTGACCTCTTATCCTGTCCTGGGTGGGCTTCGAGACCCCCCATCCTGTCCCGGGTGGAGCTTTGTGACCCTCTGTCCTGTCCTGGGTGGGCTTCGAGACCCTCAGTCCTGTCCTGAGTGGGCTCCGTGACCCCCCGTCCTGTCCTGGGTGGGCTCCGTGACCCCCCGTCCCGTCCCGAGTGGAGCTTTGTGACCCCCCGTCCCGTCCTGAGTGGGTTCCGAGACCCTCCCTCCTGTCCCGAGTGGAGCTTTGTGACCCCTTATCCTGCCTCGGGTGGAACTTCGTGACCCCCCATCCTGTCCCGGGTGGGCTTCGAGACCTCTTATCCTGTCCTGAGTGGGCTTCGAGACCCTCAGTCCTGTCCTGGGTGGAGCTTCGTGACCCCCCGTCCTGCCCTGGGTGGAGCTTCGTGACCCTCCCTTCTGTCCCGGGTGGAGTGGGTTTCGAGACCCTCCCTCCTGCCCCGGGTGGGGGGGGCTCCGTGACCCCCCATCCTGTCCTGAGTGGAGCTTTGTGACCCCCCGTCCTGTCCTGAGTGGGCTCCGTGACCCCCGTCCTGCCTCGGGTGGAGTTTCGTGACCCCCCGTCCTGTCCCGAGTGGAGCTTCGTGACCCTCTGTCCTGTCCTGGGTGGAGCTTCGTGATCCCCCGTCCTGTCCTGAGTGGGCTTCGAGACCTCTTATCCTGTCCCGGGTGGAGCTTTGTGACCCCCCCGTCCTGTCCCGAGTGGAGCTTCGTGACCCCCCGTCCTGTCCTGGGTGGGCTCCGTGACCCTCAGTCCTGTCCCGGGTGGAGCTTCGTGACCCCCCGTCCTGTCCCGGGTGGGCTTCGAGACCCTCCCTCCTGTCCCAGGTGGAGCTTCGTGACCCCCCGTCCTGTCCCGGGTGGGGCTCCGTGACCCCCCGTCCTGTCCCAGATGGGCTTCGAGATCCCCCGTCCTGTCCCGGGTGGGCTTCGAGACCTCTTATCCTGTCCCGAGTGGAGCTTCGTGACCCCCCGTCCTGTCCCGGGTGGAGCTTCGTGACCCTCCCTTCTGTCCCGGGTGGAGCTTCGTGACCCTCCCTCCTGTCCCGAGTGGAGCTTTGTGACCCCCGTCCTGTCCTGGGTGGGCTCCGAGACCTCTTATCCTGTCCCGGGTGGAGCTTCGAGACCCCCCGTCCTGTCCTGGGTGGGCTCTGAGACCTCTTATCCTGTCCCGGGTGGAGCTTTGTGACCCCCCGTCCTGTCCCGAGTGGAGCTTTGTGACCCCCCGTCCTGCCCCGGGTGGAGCTTCGTGACCCCCCCGTCCTGTCCCGAGTGGAACTTCGTGACCCCCCGTCCTGTCCTGGGTGGGCTCCGAGACCCCTCATCCTGCCCCGGGTGGAGCTTTGTGACCCTCAGTCCTGTCCCGAGTGGGGGGACGGGGGGACACGGGGAAGGAGCCCCCCCAGGGCAATCCCGGTGGGTGCGTGGGTGTCGTGTCCCCCCCTCCTCCACTTCTCGGGTGGTGTCTGCGCCTCCCCGTGGGATGAAAAACGAAGTGGAGGGGAGAGGGAGAGAGGGAGAGAGAGGTGGGTGGGAAAAAGCTCCGGCTGCTCTCCCGGCCCCACGGGGGAGCTGTGGGAGTGCGTGGGGTGGGTGGGGTGCGTGGGTTTGGGTTACACTTTCTCGGACATCCCCCTGGGCAGGGAGTGCGGCGAGTGCAGCTCCACCGACTGCCGCCGCCGGGCCTCTCGCTCGGCCCACTCGTGATCGGGGCCGCGGCCCCACAGGACGGCCAAGCGCTCCTGCAGCGTCCGGGGCTGCGGGGACAGCACCAAGTTGTAGAGCAGCGAGGCCACAGCCGCGCCGAGCAGCGGCCCCACCCAGAGCACCTGTGGGGGGCACGGTGTGAGGGAGCCGGCCGGGACCCTCCCGGGGGTGGGAGGGTGGGGATCATCCCGAGAGCCCCCGGGGTCCCGGAGGGAGAAGGACCCGGCCGGGACCCCTCCCGGGGTGGGAGAGTGGGGGGACCATCCCCGGGGCTCCCGGAGGGAGAAGGACCAGGTCGGCACCCCTCCCGGGGGTGGGAGGGTGGTGGGACCATCCCCGGGGGTCCCGGAGGGAGCAGAACCCGGCCGGGACCCTTTCTGGGGTGGGAGTGTGGTGGGACCATCCTCGGAGGGAGCAGGACCCGGCCGGGACCCCTCCTGAGAGGTGGGAGGGCTTGGGATCATCCCCGGAGCGCCCCGGGGGTCCCGGAGGGAGCAGAAACCAGGTGGGACCCCTCCCGGGGCTGGGAGGGTGGGGGGACCATCCCCGGGGGTCCCGGAGGGAGAAGGACCCGGCCGGGACCCCTCCTGAGAGGTGGGAGGGCTTGGGATCATCCCCGGAGCGCCCCGGGGGTCCCGGAGGGAGTAGAACGCGGCTGGGAACCCTCCCGGGGGTGGGAGGGTGGTGGGACCATCTCCGGGGGTCCCGGAGGGAGAAGGACCCGGCCGAGACCCCTCCTGGATGTGGGAGGGTGGTGGGACCATCTCCGGGGGTCCCGGAGGGAGAAGGACCCGGCCGAGACCCCTCCTGGATGTGGGAGGAGTGGGGGGACCATCCCCGGAGGGAGCAGGACCCAACCGGGACCCTTTCTGGGGGTGGGAGGGTGGGGGACAACCCCGGGGTCCCGGAGGGAGTAGAACCCGGCTGGGACCCTCCCGGGGGTGGGAGGGTGGGGGACCATCCTAGGAGGAGCAGGACCCGATCGGGACCCCTCCCGGAGCTGGGAGGGTGGGGATCATCCCAGAGCCCCAGGGGGTCCCGGAGGGAAGAAGGACCAGTCGAGACCCGTCCCGGGGGTGGGAGGGTGGAGGGACCATCCCCGGGGGTCCCGGAGGAGAAGGACCCGGCCAGGACCCCTCCCGGGGGCGGGGGAGGGTGGGGACCATCCCGGAGCCCCAGGGGATCCCGGAGGGAGCAGGACCCGACCGGGACCCTTTCTGGGGGTGGGAGAGTGGGGGGACCATCTCTGGGGGTCCCGGAGGGAGTAGAACCCATGTGGGACCCCTCCTGGATGTGGGAGGGTGGTGGGAGGCTATCCTGGGGGTCACGAGGGGAGCAGACCCCGGCCGGGACCCCTCCCAGGGGTGGGAGGGTGGTGAGATCATCCCCGGGGGTCCCGGAGGGAGCAGGACCCGGCCGGGACCTCTCTGGGAGTGGGAGGGTGGGGGGACCATCCTAGGAGGAGCAGGACCCGACCAGGACTCCTCTCGGGAGTGGGAGGGTGGGGGACAACCCCAGGGGTCCCGGGGGTCCTGGAGGAGCAGGACCCGGCTGGGACCCTCCCGGGGGTGGGAGGGTGGGGACCATCCCCGGAACGCCCCAGGGGGTCCCGGAGGGAGAAGGACACGGCCGGGACCCTTTCTGGGGGTGGGAGGGTGGTGGGACCATCTCCGGGGGTCCCGGAGGGAGTAGAACCCGACCAGGACCCCTACCGGGGATGGGAGGATGGGGGGACCATCCCCGGGGGTCCCGGAGGGAGAAGGACCCGGCCGGGACCCCTCCCGGGGGTGGGAGGGTGGGGGGACCATCCCCAGAGCCCCCAGGGGATCCTGGAGGGAGCAGGACCCGGTCGGGACCCCTCCCGGGGATGGGAGGGTTGTGGGGGACCATCCCCGGAGAGCCCCGGGGGTCCCGGAGGGAGAAGGACCGGGCCGGGACCCTTTCTGGGGGTGGGAGAGTGGGGGGACCATCCCTGGAGCCCCCCGGGGGTCCCGGAGGGAGCAGGACCCGGCCGGGACCCCTCCCGGCGTTGGGAGGGTGGTGGGACCATCCCCGGAGCCCCCCGGGGGTCCCGGAGGGAGCAGGACCCGGCCGGGACCCCTCCTGAGAGGTGGGAGGGTGAGGGGACAACCCCCGGAGCGCCCCAGGGGTCCCGGAGGGAGCAGAACCCGGCCGGGACCCCTCCCGGGACTGGGAGGATGGGGGGACCATCCCCAGAGGGAGCAGGACCCGGCCAGGACCCCTCCTGAGAGGTGGGAGGGCTTGGGACCATCCCCGGAGCCCCCCGGGGGTCCCGGAGGGAGCAGAACCAGGCTGGGACCCCTCCTGGGACTGGGAGGGTGAGGGGACCATCCCTGGAGCCCCCCGGGGGTCCTGGAGGGAGTAGAACCCGGCTGGGACCCCTCCTGGATGTGGGAGGGTGGTGGGACCATCCCCGGAATCCGGCCAGGACCCCTCCCGGGGATGGGGAGGGTGGGGGGACCATCCCTGGAGCCCCCCGGGGGTCCCGGAGGGAGAAGGACCCGGCCGGGACCCTCTCTGGGGGTGGGAGGGTGGGGACCATCCCCGGAGGGAGCTGGACCCGACCAGGACTCCTCGGGAGTGGGAGGGTGGGGGACAACCCCCAGGGGTCCCAGGGGTCCTGGAGGGAGCAGGACCCGGCTGGGACCCCTCGGGAGTGGGAGGGTGGGGAGACCATCCTGGGGGGTCCCGGAGGAGCAGGACCCGACCGAGACCCCTCCTGGATGTGGGAGGGTGAGGGGACAACCCCCGGAGCGCCCCAGGGGTCCCGGAGGGAGCAGGACCCGGCCAGGACCCTTTCTGGGGGTGGGAGGGTGGGGGACCATCCCGGGGGTCCTGGAGGGAGCAGGACCCGGCCGGGACCCCTCCCGGGGATGGGAGAGTGGTGGGACCATCCCCGGAGCCCCCCGGGGGTCCCGGAGGGAGAAGGACCCGGCTGGGACTCCTCCTGAGAGGTGGAAGGGCTTAGGATCATCCCCGGGCGCCCCGGGGTCCCGGAGGAGCGGAACCCAGGTGGGACCCCTCCCGGGATGGGAGGGTGGTGGAAAAACCTCCAGAGCCCCCAGGGGTCCCGGAGGAGAAGGACACGGCCAGGACCCTTTCTGGGGTGGGAGGGTGGGGGACCATCCCCGGAGGGAGCAGACCCTGGCCGGACCCCCTCAGGGGTGGGGAGGTGGTGGGACCATCCCCGGGGTCCCGGAGAGGAGCAGAACCCGACCAGGACCCCTCCCGGGGATGGGAGGGTGAGGGGACCATCCCGGGGGTCCCGGAGGGAGAAGGACCCAGCCAGGACCCTCTCTGGGGGTGGGAGGGTGGGGGACCATCCTAGGAGGAGCAGGACCCGACCGGGACCCCGAGCAGGAGTGGGAGGGTGGTGGAAACCCCAGGCCCCAGGGGTCCCGGAGAGGACAGAACGGAGCCCTCAGCTCTGCTCTGGGGGGTCCTAGTTCTCAAACCACCCTCCCCTCTCTCCTCCCTCTCCGCGCATGCCCAGCCTGTCGGTGATGATGGGGACGCCCAGGATGTGCTGGGAGGGGGGGTTTGGGGTCCTCTGGGGGAGCTTCTTCCCAAGGGTTTGCACGGTGGGGGGACAGGGAGGAGGAGGAGGAGGAGGAGGAGGGAGAGAAGAAGAACAAGAGGAAGAGGAGGAAGAAGAGAAGGAGAAGGAAGAGGAAGAAGAAGAGGAGGAAGAAGAGAAGAGGAAGAAGAGGAGGAGGAAGAGGAGGAAGAAGAAGAGAAGGACGAAGAGGAGGAAGAGGAGGAGGAAAAGGAACAAGAGGAGGAGGAAAAGAGAAGGAAGAGGAGAAGGAGAAAGAGGAGGAGGAAGAGGAAGCACCACCTTGGGCTGGACCCCTCTGAGCTCATCCCCCCCGAGCCCCCCCACCCATCTCTGGCTCCAGCCGCGCTCCGTGCCCGTGGAAATCCCGGGATCTCCCGAGCCCCCCCAGGGCCCCTCCAATCCAATCCAAGCCCGGGACACCCCAACCATCCCCCCCCGTCCCTCCGGGCCTTCTCCCAAACCCTCCCGCAGCTCTCGGCGAGCCCCAACCCCGGGGAGCGATCCCATGGAAAAGGGGGCTCCTAAATCCCCCCTGGAAAGCTGGGAAAGACCCTGGCGAACACAACCGGCCGAGTCACTCGCGACAAACCCCACGCCCCGCTCCTGTCGCAACCCCGGGGGCGGCTCCTCCCTCTCCTTTTCCTGCTCTCCCATCCCTGCTCCAGCCGGGATTCCGCCGGGAGCTGGCTCCGAGGCTTTGGGGGTGGAATTTTGGGGGGTTTATCCCCCCCCAGTCCTTACCCAGTGGTCGCTGAAGTCGCCCGCGATGACGGCGGGGGCGAAGGAGCGCGCGGGGTTCATGGAGCAGCCGGTGTAGCGGATCTGCCGGGAGATCACCCAAAAAAAACCCCCTTTTTTGGGATTTACCCCAACCCTGGGATGTCTGGGTGTGATCCATCCCCCCCGCTCCTCCCTCCTCCGGCATTCCCAGCGCCGGGAATTCCTCCCGAGCCGACCCCACGGACCCCTTGGAGCGTAGGGATGGATCCCGATCCCGCCGGGAATTCCTTCCCTGGCCATCCCGGGACGCGGGAAGGTTGCAGATGGACGAGGTGGGGGGGTTTTAGTCCCGATCCCGGCGGGAATTCCCGCAGCGTCCATCCCAAAATTCCCAGGGCCTGAATTCCCGACACGGTCGCTCCCACGCGGGGAAAATCCCACCGGCCCCTGGAGCTTCCCCACGGCGCTCCAGAGGCGGCAGAGCCCAGAAAATCGAGGCTTTTCCCCCAGCCGAAATTCAGGCTTTTCGGCCCCAAAATTCAGGGTTTCGTGCCCCAAAATTAAGGGTTTCGTGCCCCAAAATTAAGGATTTCGTGCCCCAAAATTAAGGGTTTCGTGCCGGTTTTTCTCCCAGTTTTCTCCCAGTTTTCTCCCGCTTTTATCCCACTTTTTTTATCCCGGTTTATCCCCGTTTATCCCAGCTTTTCTCCCTGTTTATCCCGGTTTTTCTCCCGGTTTTATCCCAGTTTTTTTATCCCGGTTTATCCCAGTTTTCTCCCGGTTTTATCCCAGTTTTTTTTTATCCAGGTTTATCCCAGTTTTTAATCCCACATTTCTCCCAGTTTATCCCGGTTTTCTCTCCCAGTTTTTATCCCGCTTTTCTCCCGGTCTATCCCCTTTTTATCCCACTTTTTTATCCCGGTTTATCCCCGTTTATCCCAGCTTTTCTCCCAGTTTTTCGGTTTATCCTGTTATCCAGTTTCTCCAGTTTCTCCGGTTTTCTCCTGTTATCCCTTTATCCCACTTTTATCCTTTCTCCCAGTTTATCCCGGTTTTCTCTCCCAGTTTTATCCCTGTTTATCCCGGTTTCCTCTCCCGGTTTTTCTCCCGGTTTTCTCCCTGTTTATCCCCGCTTTATCCCACTTTTTTATCCCGTTTTATCCCCGTTTTATCCCAGTTTTTTATCCCGCTTTTCTCCCAGTTTATCCCGGTTTTCTCTCCCGATTTTCTCCCAGTCTATCCCGGTTTTATCCCACTTTTTTATCCCGTTTTATCCCACTTTTTTATCCTGTTTTATCTCCGTTTTATCCCGTTTTATCCCAGTTTTTTATCCCAGCTTTTCTCCCAGTTTTTTCTCCCGATTTTCTCCCAGTCTATCCCGGTTTTATCCACTTTTTTATCCCGTTTTCTCCCGTTTTTTTCTCCCGCTTTTCCCCCAGTTTATCCCGGTTTTTCCCACCCCGTTTCCCTCACCCCCAGCAGGTGCCCCGCGGCCACCGAGAGGCCGATGGAGATGGCGGGGGAGCCCACGCGGTCCTCGCGCCGCTCGTCCGTGGACGCCAAAACGCAGAGGACGAGCTGGAAGGTGAGGAAAAGCTCCACCGTCACCGCCTGCCCCGCCGACGTCTCGTTGTTCAGCTGCGGGAAAAAAAAATGGGAAAAAAAACCCACCAAAAAAATCGGGAATAACGCCCGAGAAATCCCAGGAATCCCAGAGCGCCGCGTGGAGGGGATTGGGAAAAAAATTCCCGCGGAAAATGGGATTTTTAGGGGGTTTTGTACCCTTGTGAGGGGTTTTTAATTGGGTTTTTTTCTCACTCTCGGGGGATTTTTTAATTGGATTTTTCTCCCCCGCTCTCAGGGAGTTTTGTTGGAGTTTTTTGGTTTTTTTTCCCCCTCCTTTCAGGAATTTTTTTGGGGTTTTCCTCGCTCTCAGGAAATTTTATTGCCAATTTTCTTGGGGGTATTATTTTCCCCACTCTCAGGGGATTTTATTGCCAATTTTTTTTTTTGGGTATTATTTTCCCCACTCTCAGGAAATTTCTCATGGATTTTCTCTCCCTCTCTCTCTCTCTCGTGAATTTTTTATTGGATTTTCCCCGATCTCAGGAATTTTTTATTGGATTTTTCTCTCCCTCTCAGGGAATTTTATTGGCGGTTTTTTGGGGTATTTTCCCTCCTCTGAGGAAGTTTTTTCTGGGCCGTGCCCACCTGGGTCGTTCCTCTCCTTCCTCCAAGCCCCTCCCCTCTCACCTTGGTGATGACCCCAAACCCCTCCAGACCCCTCCTCACTCCCCAAACCCCCTCCCACCCCTCCACTCTCACCTTGGTGATGGCCCCAAACCCCTTCCCCACTCCCCTCACCCTCCCCAAACCCCATCACCTCTCACCCTGTTGATGACCCCAAACCCCTTCCCACCCCTCAAACCCCATCCCCACTCCCCAAACCCTCTCTCCTGTCCCCACTCCCCTGTTGATGGCCCAAACCCCTCCCTACTCCCCAAACCCCATCCCCACTCCCTCACCCTCCCCAAACCCCTCCCCACTCCCCCTGTTGATGACCCCAAACCCCATCCCCCTCCTCAAACCCCTTCCCCACTCCCCAAACCCCTCTCCTGTCCCCACTCCCCCTGTTGATGACCCCACACCCCTTCCCTCTCCCCACTCACCCTGTTGATGACCCCAAACCCCTCCATACTCCCCAAACCCCATCCCCACTCCCCACTTACCCTCTTGGTGACCCCAAACCCTTCCCAAACCCCATCCCCACTCACCCTGTTGATGACCCCAAACCCCTTCCCCACTCCCCAAACCCTTCCCAAACCCCATCCCCACTCACCCTGTTGATGGCCCAAACCCCTTCCCACCCCTCTCACCCTCCCCAAACCCCTCCCCACTCCCCAAACCCTCCCAAACCCCGTCCCCACTCACCTTGTTGATGACCCCACACCCCTTCCCCTCTCCCCACTCACCCTGTTGATGACCCCAAACCCCGTCCCCAATCCCCAAACCCTTCCCAAACCCTGTCCCCACTCACCCTATTGACAGCCATGCCCCGGGCGGCCTCGGGGGGTGTCACCTGGTGCAGGATGGTGGCTCTGACCACCCCCAAACCCTTCCCAAAATCCATCCCCACTCACCCTGTTTACAGCCATGCCCCGGGTGGCCTCGGGGGGTGTCACCTGGTGCAGGATGGTGGCTCTGACCACCCCTAAACCCCGTTCCCACTCACCCTGGTGATGACCCCAAAATCCATCCCCACTCACCCTGGTGATGACCCCAAACCCCCTCCCCACTCACCCTGTTTACAGCCATGCCCCGGGCAGCCTCCGGGGGTGTCACCTGGTGCAGGATGGCGGCTCTGACCACCCCCAAACCCTTCCCAAAATCCATCCCCACTCACCCTATTGACGGCCATGCCCCGGGTGGCCTCGGGGGGTGTCACCTGGTGCAGGATGGTGGCCCCGGCCACCCCCCCAGGAGCTGGGTGGCCCAAACACCATCCCTGCTCACCCTGGTGATGACCCCAAACCCCTCCCCACTCCCCAAACCCCATCCCCACTCCCCACTTACCCTGTTGGTGACCCCAAACCCTCCCAAACCCCCTCCCCACTCACCCTGTTGATGACCCCAAACCCTTCCCAAACCCCTCTCCCCTGTCCCCACTCACCCTGTTCATGACCCCAAAATCCATTCCCACTCACCCTGTTGATGACCCCAAACCCCCTTCAAACCCTGTCCCCACTCCCCAAACCCTCCCAAACCCCGTCCCCACTCCCCCTGCTGATGACCCCAAACCCTCCCAAACCCCCTCCCCACTCACCCTATTGACAGCCATGCCCCGGGCAGCCTCGGGGGGTGTCACCTGGTGCAGGATGGTGGCTCTGACCACCCCTAAACCCTTCCCAAAATCCATCCCCACTCACCCTGTTGACAGCCATGCCCCGGGTGGCCTCGGGGGGTGTCACCTGGTGCAGGATGGTGGCTCTGACCACCCCCAAACCCTTCCCAAAATCCATCCCCACTCACCCTATTGACAGCCATGCCCCGGGTGGCCTCGGGGGGTGTCACCTGGTGCAGGATGGCGGCCCCAGCCCCCTCCAAACCCCTTTCCCCTGTCCCCACTCCCCCTGCTGATGACCCCAAACCCCCTCCCCACTCACCCTGTTGACAGCCATGCCCCGGGTGGCCTCGGGGGGTGTCACCTGGTGCAGGATGGTGGCTCTGACCACCCCCAAACCCTCTCCCTACTCCCCAAACCCCATCCCCACTCACCCTGTTGATGACCCCAAACCCCCTCCCCACTCCCCAAACCCTCCCAAACCCCCTCCCCACTCACCCTGTTTACAGCCATGCCCCGGGCGGCCTCAGGGGGTGTCACCTGGTGCAGGATGGTGGCTCTGGCCACCCTCAAGCCTCCCCACTCCCCAAACCCTTCCCAAACCCCTCCCCACTCCCCCAAACCCCGTCCCCACTCACCCTATTGACAGCCATGCCCCGGGCAGCCTCGGGGGGTGTCACCTGGTGCAGGATGGCGGCTCTGACCACCCCCAAACCCTTCCCAAAATCCATCCCCACTCACCCTATTGACAGCCATGCCCCGGGTGGTGTCGGGGGTGTCACCTGGTGCAGGATGGCGGCTCTGACCACCCCCAAACCCCTCTCCCCTGTCCCCACTCACCCTGTTGATGACCCCAAACCCCCTCCCCACTCACCCTATTGACAGCCATGCCCCGGGCAGCCTCGGGGGGTGTCACCTGGTGCAGGATGGTGGCTCTGACCACCCCCAAACCCTTCCCAAACCCCCTCCCCACTCACCCTATTGACAGCCATGCCCCGGGTGGCCTCGGGGGGTGTCACCTGGTGCAGGATGGTGGCTCTGACCACCCCCAAATCCATCTCCCCTGTCCCCACTCACCCTGTTGATGACCCCAAACCCTTCCCAAACCCCCTCCCCACTCACCCTGTTTACAGCCATGCCCCGGGCGGCCTCGGGGGGTGTCACCTGGTGCAGGATGGCGGCCCCGGCCACCCCCCCCAGGAGCTGGGCAGCCACGTAGGAGGCCGCCCTGAGCAGGGAGAGCTGCGAGCCCAGCAGGCAGCCCAGGGTCACGGCGGGGTTCAGGTGGGCGCCGCTGACGGGGCCCAGCGCCTGCACCAGCGTGCCGATGGCCAGCCCGAAGGCCAGGGCGACCTGCAGGGGGCTGGGGGTGGGCGCTGACGGCCAGGCCAGCGCCGAGCCCACCCCCAGCAGCACGAACACCAGCGTGGCCACGAACTCGGCCAGCACCGCCCGGCTGAAGGCGGCCGAGCGCAGCTCCCACAGCATCCCGGGAGAGGACAGGGGGGGATTTAGGGGGGGCTTTTGGGGTGTCCCGGGAGGAGGAGGGGGAGTTTAGGGTGAGGGGTGTCCTGGGAGGAGGAGGAGAGGGGATTTAAGGTGAGGGGTGTTCCAGGAGGGTGAGAGGGGATTTAGGGTGAGGAGGGACGGGAGGATTTAGGGTGAGGAGGGATGGGAGGATTTAGGGGTCTGTGTCCTGGGAGGGTGAGGAGAGGGGATTTAGGGTGAGGGGGGATTTAGGGTGAGGGGGGATTTAGGGTGAGGAGGGACAGTCAGATTTAGGGCTCTGTGTCCCGGGAGGGTGAGGACGGATGGGAGGATTTAGGGTGAGGAGGGATGGGAGGATTTAGGGCTCTGTGTCCTGGGAGGGTGAGGAGAGGGGATTTAGGGTGAGGGGTGTTCCAGGAGGGTGAGAGGGGATTTAGGGTGAGGGGGGATTGAGGGGAGGAGGGATGGGAGGATTTAGGGTGAGGAGGGACGGGAGGATTTAGGGTGAGGAGGGACGGGAGGATTTAGGGCTCGGGGTGTCTTGGGAGGAGGAGAGGGGGTTTAGGGTGAGGGGTGTCCCGGGAGAATGAGGGGGGATTTAGGGCTGGGGGTGTCCCGGGAGGGTGAGGAGGGATGGGAGGATTTAGGGCTCGGGGTGTTATGGGAGGAGGAGGAGAGGGGATTTAGAGTGAGGGGTGTCCCAGGAGGGTGAGGGGGGATTGAGGGGAGGAGGGATGGGAGGATTTAGGGTGAGGAGGGACAGTCAGATTTAGGGTTCTGTGTCCTGGGAGGGTGAGGAAGGGATGGCAGGTTTTAGGGCTCTGTGTCCTGGGAAGGTGAGGAGGGATGGGAGGATTTAGAGCTCTGTGTCCCAGGAGGATGAGGAGGGGATGGGAGGATTTAGGACTCGGGGTTTCCTGGGAGGAGGAGGAGAGGGGATTTAGGGTGAGGAGGGATTTAGGGTTCTGTGTCCCAGGAGGGTGAGGGGGGATTTAGGCTGAGGGGTGTCCCAGGAGGGTGAGGGGGGATTGAGGGGAGGAGGGATGGGAGGATTTAGGGTTCTGTGTCCCAGGAGGAGGAGGAGGGATGGGAAAGTGTAGGGTTCTGTGTCCCGGGAGGGTAAGGGGGGATTTAGGGTGAGGAGGGATGGGAAGATTTAGGGCTCTGTGTCCCAGAGGATGAGGAGGGGATAGTCCAGATTTAGGGCTGTGTGTGAGTGTCTGGGGGAGGATTTAGGGCTCTGTGTCCCAGGGGAGGATGAGAAGGGGATAGTCCAGATTTAGGGCTGTGTGTGAGTGTCTGGGGGAGGATTTAGGGCTCTGTGTCCCAGGGGAGGATGAGGAGGGGACAGTCCAGATTTAGGGCCGTGTGTGAGTGTCTGGGGGAGGATTTTGGGTTGTGTGTGAGTGTCTGGGGGAGGATTTAGGGCTGTGTGTGAGTGTCTGGGGGAGGATTTAGGGCTCTGTGCATCCCTGTCCGGGGGAGGATGAGGAAGGACGGACGGCTTTATACGCACAGGGGGAGGGAGGGAGGAAGGGAGGGAGGGAGGGAGGGAGAGCCACACGTGCCCAGGGGAGATGGCATCGCCCTCCCGGCGTAACCCGAGCCTCTTTTTCCTGGTACCGAGGGCAGATGGGATCGCCCTCCCAGGGTAACCCGACCCTCCTTTTCCTGGTGCGCGTTGTTCCAGCCGAGGGAACAGCAGAGCCGGGAGGGAACGCGGCCCCCACCTCGGGGGGAGGGAGGTCAGGGCCGTGCCCTCTCACCCCGGCCTCGATTCCCTGCGGGATCTGAGCCCTCGTCCCAGCTGCGTCCCGGGAATGTGGAGAAACGGGGTGGTTTGAGGTTGGGATGGGATATCCAGGCAGATCCAGGCACAGGGAGGGGGCTCTGGGGGCCGGGGATTGGACTCGGTGGTCCCTGGGGGTCTCTTCCAGCCCGGGGTATTCCATAATTCCATAAAAACCGGGGCAGGCGTCCCTCAGGAGCACAACAATCCAGGTTGCAGCTCAGCACCACGGGCCTGCAGATTTCCCACCGGGAAAACTGGGAAATAATCCCAAAAAAACCCCCAGACTGGGGGAAACCCCCAGATCCTGGGGGAAAAAAGGGCGCTCACAGCTGGAGTTTTCCCCTTCCCCTTTCCCCTTCCCTTTCCCTCTTCTTTCCCCTTTCCCTTTTCCCCTTCCCTTTCCCTTTCCCTTTCCCTTTCCTTTTCCTTCCCCACTGTTTAAGCCCAGTTTGGGGGTGTTTGAGCCAAGCTTGAAGATGTTTGTGCCCACTTGGAGATGTTCAAGCCCAGTTGGAGATGTTTGTGCCCAATTTGGAGATGCTTGTGCCCAGTTTGGGGGTGTTTGAGCCCAGTTTGGGAGTGTGTGAGCCCAGTTTGGAGGTGTTTAAGCCCAGTCTGTTTCCCTGTCTGTTCCCCTGTTTCTCCCCTGTTTCTCCCCTGTTTCTCCCCTCTTTCTCCTCTGTTTCTCCCTCCGTTTCTCCCGTTTCTCCCTCTATTTCTCCCCTGTTTCTCCCCCTTTTTCTCCCGTTTCTCCCGTTTCTCCCTCTGTTTCTCCCCTGTTTCTCCCCAGTTTCTCCCCTCTTTCTCCCCAGTTTCTCGCCCTGTTTCTCCCCTGTTTCTCCCCTGTTTCTCCCCCTGTTTCTCCCCTGTTTCTCCCCTCTTTCTCCCCTGTTTCTCCCCCTGTTTCTCCCATTTCTCCCCTGTTTCTCCCCTCTTTCTCCCCTATTTCTCCCCCTATTTCTCCCCTGTTTCTCCCCTGTTTCTCCCTCAGTTTCTCCCCTGTTTCTCCTTTTTTTCTCCCGTTTCTCCCCGTGTTTCCCCCTGTCTCTCCCGATATTATCTCCCCTGTTTCTCCCCGTTTGTCCCCGTGTTTCTCCCAATTCTCCCGATTCCATCTCCCGTGTCCATCCCTGTTTCTCTGACACCACCTCCCGTGTTTATCCCCGTGTTTCTCCCCACGTTTCCATGTGTTATTTCCCCTCTGTCTCTCCCGATAACATCTCCCGTGTCCATCCCCGGCTTCCCCGTTCCCAGCGGGTTTCACAATCCGCTCTTGCCCAAGCCGGAGCTCCAGGGGAGCCTCTCCGGTGGCCCCTCGGGATATCTCCATTCCATCTGGAATTCCTGAAGGTTTCTGGCACCTCCGACCCAACCACGGCAGCTTTTCCTGCTCAGGGCCCCGGCAGGAAAACAGGAGAGCTGCTCGGAACTCCTGGAAATGAGGGGTTTTTGGGGAGAAAAATTCCTGCTGGGAATAGTCCCGGGAGGAAATTCCAGCTGGGAATAGTCCCGGGGGGAAAATTCCACCCAAACCCTGCTGGGCCTGGAAATGGGGGGTTGGAAGGAGGGGGGAAAACTGGAATGTGTCAATTGAAAGGGGTAAAATGGAATTGTGGGAATCTGAAATGTGTGAATTGAATTGTGTGAAATTGAAATGTGGGAATCTGAAATTCCCGGTGGGAAGCCATTCCCTGTGTGCTGTCCCTCCATCCCAAATCCCTCTCCAGCTCTCCTGGAGCCCCTCCAGGCCCTGGAAGGGGCTCTGAGCTCTCCCTGGATCCTTCTCCTCTCCCATTTTCCTGCAATCTCCCCTCTGGATTTGGGATCAGAGTGGTGGGAAGTCCCTCTCCCCAAGGGATCTGCCAGCCAGTGGATTCAGTGGATTCAGTGGATTCAGATCCCTTTTTTTCCCCCCCCAGGAAAAAATTCTCCCTCCATCCAAAGATCCTTCACCCTTCAGGGGAGCAAAGTGGGGAAAATCCAATTAAAAAATCCCCTCCTGTGGCCTTTTAGGGCAAACCCTGAACCCCAAATCCCCCCAAATCCCCCAAATCCCCCCAAATTCCCCCAAATCCCCCAAATCCCGCCCTGACAGGACCCCTCCCGCGGGCTCTGCCCGTGTTTGTTGTTCTGGTGGCAGCTGAGGAGGAGGATTTTGGGATTAAAGGAGGCTCCGAGTTCCTGCCGAGCCCGAGCCGGGTTTGGGGACAAAGCTCAGGTTTATTTATCTTCCTGTCCCGGCTTAAGGGACAAAGCTCGGCTTTATTTTCGTGATTTCCGAGCTGCAGGTTCGGTCTTGAATGTTTGCCCGGGGTTTAGTGGAGGAACGGGGGGAGGAGGAGGAGGAGGAGGGGGAGGAAGAGGGGAGGGTGGGGCTGGGCTGGGGATTTGGGTGGGATCGGGGCATCAAACCCTCACCTCGGGACACCCCAGGACACCCAAGGACAATTTGGGATACCCTGGGATATCCCGGGACATCCCAGGGCAACTTGGGATACCCCAGGAAACCTCGGGACACCTCAGGATATCCCGGGACACCTTGGAGCCTTTGGGACACCCCAGGACACCCAAGGACACCCAAGGACACCCCAGAACACCTCAGGACACCCCGGGATACCCCGGGACACCCAAGGACACCCCAGGACACCCCTGGACACTCTGGGATACCCCAGAACACCCCAGGACATCCCAGGACAACTTGGGATACCCCAGGACACCCCAGGACAACTCAGGACATCCCAGGACATCCCAGGACACCCAAGGACAACTTGGGATACCCTGGGATACCCCAGGACATCCAAGGACCTCCAACGACACCCCAGGACACCCAAGGACACCTCGGGATACCCCGGGACACCCAAGGACAACTTGGGACACCCCAGGACACCCAGGACACCCCAGGATACCCCAGGACACCCCATGACACCCAAGGACAATTTGGGATACCCTGGGATACCCCAGGACATCCCAGGACACCCCAGGACACCTCGGAGCCTTCAGGCCCAGCCCAAACCGTGGAAGGGATTTTTTTGGGGGGGGAAAAAGACCAAAAGCTCATCCCATCCCACCTTTCCACGGGACAGGAGGGAGGGCAGAGGGGACAGGGAAAAGAACACAGGACAGGAGGGGAGCTCCTCCCACTCTTTCAGCTCCCGATTTCCATAAAAACCCGGAAGAACGCGGGGTTGGCAATGCGGGACAACCCCCT